CAAAGAAAAGAGTCCCTGAGATTTTGCCTTCGACATAAAGATGTGTGTTCTGTGTATAGCTGACTTCGTATTTATGTCAGTTCTACACAGTTGCATAACATCGACGCAGTGAATTAGTATATTTTGTATTGTATTTATATACTAAACGGAATTACATGATTAATTCTTATAGGGTTTCACTTTATAAAACTATATGTGAGAAAACATAGCATCATATCCAGTTTAATTACTAAAATTAAAAAACATCAATTGTGCAAGCTCTTCAGAGTGGCAGGACACGTTGCCTAGCCCAGCAGGAGCCACAGATTCATTGTCAGAAGTAAAATTAGTGTGATGGAAAAGAACCTAGATTAAAAATGAAAAGTTAAAATATAGAAAAGCAACCAAACACTAAGTAAAATAGATGAAACTTTTATGAGGTGCTGAAGGTAATCTGTTTCAAACCTTGATAAATAGCAAAGGACTCTTGAATGAAATATGAAAAGCACCGTTTCTTCGGAAAATAGACGTGAAAGAATGTTTTCATGCCCTCTGAGATAGCATGCTATTCATTGCTATCCAAATGAGGATGCGATTGGAGGGGAAGGTGGTAAAGGCCCCAGAATCAGAGGGAAGAAAAAATGCAGCAAGTGTCAGAGGAAAGCAAAGAATTGTAAGGATGGGAATGCCCTAGTGGAAGGGGTGAGGACATCGAAGTCTAGTCATAAAGGATACAGGGATCAGGTCAGCCCACTTGGACCCGGGGTCCTGAGCTTCAAAGCGGAACCCCCTTTTGTTATCTCATACAATCACTCATTAAAAATCACCTCAGTTTATTAATTTATTTTTTAGCTTTTATTTATTTATTTATTATTAATTTTTTTTGTTACAGATGTTTCTTCTTTTACCCCATTGACACCCTCCTCCCCATCCCCCCAGCCCCATCCCCAGCTTTGTTGTCTATGTTCATTGGTCATGCGTACATGCATATAAGTTCTGTGGTTTATCTCTCCCCCCCCCCCCGCCCCGACACCCCTCCTCTGAGGTTGTCAGTCTGTACCCCACCTCTATGTCTCTGGGTCAATTTTGTTCATCAGTTTGTTTAGTTCATTATATTCCACAAATAAGTGAGATCATGTGATATTTGTCTTTCTCTGCTTGGCTTAAATGACCTCAGTTTAGATGTTTTCTTTTGTTCTAGAGAGAGAGACATGGCATTTTAGCTCGGGAGGTTTTAATAATAAGGATCTAGAGAACTTTATGAAGTATGGAAAAGTTGAAAGTACAGAGTTTGGTTTTGTGGTTGGTTAAGAGGCTGTGAGGATAGAAGGACCTAGGGACGGGGTAGGAAGAAAGGGAGAGGAATGGAAGAAAGACAAGCAGTGTGTGCAGAGATAGAGACAGGACACAGTGGGAGAGAAAGGCCACAGAGAAAGAGCGAGAAGGGAGAGTGACAGGCAGGCCGGCTGAACGGCCGGTGAGTTTCAGGGGTGGTGCACTGTTCACAGCTCTTCAAGAACGAATGCCTGTGAGCCTCCACTTCTCATCAGGGAGCAAGCAGAACATTCCGCCAAGGGGGAATGCACAATTTTTAGGCACAGTAACGATTACCGGAGCACATCATCTTTAGGTCTTCAGAAAATCAAATCAACAGGCCATGTTCTCTTCTTCTGAGTCTCTCTACCCTTGATTTAAAGACAGGGCATTGGATTTCAGTCTGTCTTTAACTGTGGGATTTGTAATCAACACTGGATTTCCTATAATAGCAAGTTCTTGATCAGTAAAGAAGATATTTTGAAATTTAACTCTTATGACCTCTCATTGCTTGAGACACACTCTACAGAAAGGAAAATTCACTCTCAGTCATGAGTGTGAACTTATCTAAGACAAAGGGTGACCTACCAGTGACTATGACATAGCATTTATGCTTTGAATAATGACTTTTACAAGAAACGGAATCACACTAAGCCCTTGACCACAAACGTGAGATGTTCGTATCACAGTGGAGTTTATTCTCACTCTTTCTGGAAAACCTCTCATCTGATGTTATAATCCGTTCAAAAACCATTTATGTTCTTCACATCAGTATGAGCTGTAATATTCCAAAAAAGAGTAAATTCATTTTATGTTTATTTGTAGCCAAAAATGGATTAGCCTTCCTGCTTATTATTCACATGGACTGTTCCCATAATCTGGACTACTGAGCTGTGGCTGTACCTACCACCAAGTTATTCATGCAGACGAGATCCAAGTGCATCACTGAACCGCCCCATCGCTAATACTTTCGGCAGTTTTGCCGGACCCTGCTATTGCTACTCAACGTTGTGTGTGTGTGTGTGTGTGTGTGTGTGTGTGTGTGTGTAATAGTGCATTACCACCTGAATGCAAAGTTTGGACATGAGCTCAGTGGCATCGGAGATACACGCTATAGGGTACAGTGCTCGGCAGAGAAAAGGTGGGAACAGCACTTCTTGGCCTTAAAGGCTTATTATGCCCTTGAAAAAGAAAAAAAATTAATGCTAGCATTTATTTACTAGACACTGGTATAGCTTTTAATCTAAGTTTTCTTAGATTGGAACCCAAACTTAGAGGAGAAAGAATTTTCTCATTCTGCTCAGATATATTCCGTGTGGTGAGCACTGCACATAAACTCTCTCATTTTATTGTCGTAATATTGTCCATGAAGTAGATACTATTATCCTCCTTTTCTAGAATTAGAAATTGAGGCTCAGAGAGTTTAAGTTGCTCAATCATTGTAACTCTTCTTTATTTTGTAAAAATAGGCATTTCTGTCTGCGATAAAGTGTGAATGTATATGCTTAAAATATGTCTGTGACTATGTAGTTGAGAAAACTCCCAATTCAAGTGTACTGATTGGCCATATTTGAAATGCTTCTTATATAGTTCATCTATATTTTTCTCATAAGTTTGACTTATTTTTATTTGAGAGGATACTTGGTTTCCAGATGGAGAAATAATTTTAACTTATAAGAGTGGAAAAACCAGAGACATGTAGAAATTGGTGTGTGTCTTAAAAGAGATGTCTAATTATAAAAGATCTCTTAAAACTAAAAACTGTTCCTTTTGGTATAAGCCAGCAATTTTCAACCCTTTCATCTCATGGTAAACATAAACTAATTACTAAAATTCTGGGGCACACCAAAAAATATATTTTGCCGATCTGACAAAAAGTAGGTGTAATTTTGATTCATTCATATCAGACGGCTATTGTTACGTTGGCTGTTGTCATTTTTTTTACTTGACAACCTAAGGGAAAATAGGTCAGTGCTCCTGACTAAATTAGTCAGGTGTTGCATGTTTAGATTTTTACGTGGCACACCAATGTGTCGCAGCACAGCAATCAAAAATCGCTGGTATAAGCCACAGACTGTGTGAAATGTGGAGTTTTCATTAAAAGTAGTGTTTTGGATGAATTGCTTGAAGCTCTGTGAATTTCTGCAAAAACATTACAAGGGAGGATCACATAAGAATATGCTCGCTGCTATAGATCAGAATAAGGAATACTAGATCAACCAGAGGGAATATTGGAGCAGCAATGCCTTAAGGAATTGGTACAAGGACAAAAGAGCTGTGGAGGAAGAGAATACACACACACACTCTGATATTCTATAGCCACACAAACCTATAAACATAGATGCTTTTTAGGCAGGTGATCCAAATAATTCCATTTATTTTTCTGGTCATATACCTTAGCCCTGCTCCATCTTTTGCCAGCTGCGTACTTCAAAACAAAGAATGGATTCATTATTTATCACTTATTAAACCCTCACAATATGTAAGCACTATGCTCTTTGATAAGGATATTATAACAGAGAAGACAGTCTTTGTCTTTAAGAGCACCCAGCATCCTGTGGGAAAGGGGTTATGCAGTGGTATGATGAAATAGAAGAGACATTCACAGAGAGTGTGTAGAGGAGGGTTATGATGGAGGGCTTTCTGGAGGAGGTGATGTATGAGCTGAGTCTGGAAGAGCAAGCAGCAGTGAGTCAAAAGGAAATGGGAAAGGTGGAGGCCCTTCCAAGACACAGCATGAAGAAAGACCAGGAGCTTGAGAAAGAAAGAATAACTGTCGTCTGGGGGGGGGGGGGGGGTAGGGATATGATGATGATGGGTGGAGAGGTGAGGGTGGAGAGGTAGGCCAGATTTAGTAGGGCGAACTGGACTTCGCACTGCCAGCAACAGTGAGCTTTTGCAGAGCTAAAGAATGGCAAGGTCGAGTTTGTATCTTAATGGATTGTTCTAGCAGCTGTGTGGACCATGAGCTTTAGGTAGACAAAACCAGAGTTTGGGATCCAGTTAAGAGGCTGATGTAAAAACACAGGCAGGAGATGCTGGAGGTCTGAACCAGCATCGTGGCTCAACGGTGACAGGAACTGAGCGATGGTCGTGGAGGGCTTATGCATGTTTAGCAGGTACAGTTCGTTAAGACCTAGTGCTTATTTGGATGTGGATGGATTGATGGATCAGGATTTTTCAGAGTTTTATCTTGGTTGGCTGGGCACGGTGGTGTGGAGGGCCCTAAATCTGGGTGGAGAAGGAATAGGAACTGGTGTGGCCAGTTGGAGGTGTGGTCAGTTTAGTTTAAGGTGCCTGGTTTATCTAGGAAGAGGTGGCCCATACATGGATCTTTTAGCCTAGAGCTTGGGAAAGAGGTCTCTGGTGACAAATCCGGGATCTGTCAACCTATAGGTGTATTAAATGGTTTGCACAGCCTCTTCTGCGTAGTACATTGTGTTGTCTTTTCCTCCGGTCTTGTATCTTAAAGCAAAGATTCCGATTTCCATAAATACAGAATATTAATATTATACCTCCTATTTGTGCATAAATAACAGAGCGATCCCACGAAGAAATGCTTTAGGAAAAGTGCAAGTAACCACAGGGCTGTTGTTTTTTTCCAGTGTGGCCGTGGCGATGCCCGCCTCAGAGGGATGTCGCCGTGGCTGACCTTCCCGCGGCTGCTGTGTTGAAGACGCTGGCCCCGTGGCTCCGTGCAGCTCACGATGGCAGAAAAGGCTCCCCTGGGCTTAAACAGGAAGACTTCAAGGTCAACCCTCTCACTTCCACCAGAGCCTGTGGACATCATTCGGAGCAAAACGTGCTCGCGGAGAGTTAAAATCAACGTGGGGGGCCTGAACCACGAGGTCCTGTGGAGAACGCTGGACCGGCTGCCCAGGACACGCCTGGGGAAGCTGCGAGACTGCAACACGCACGAGAGCCTCCTGGAGGTGTGCGATGACTACAACCTGAACGAAAATGAGTATTTCTTCGACCGGCACCCAGGCGCCTTCACGTCCATTCTAAATTTCTACCGGACAGGGAAACTGCACATGATGGAAGAAATGTGTGCTCTCTCCTTTGGCCAGGAGCTTGACTACTGGGGCATTGATGAGATCTACCTAGAGTCCTGTTGCCAAGCCAGGTATCACCAGAAGAAAGAGCAAATGAATGAAGAACTGAGGCGTGAGGCAGAGACCATGCGAGAGCGGGAGGGAGAAGAGTTCGACAACACCTGCTGCCCTGAGAAGAGGAAGAAGCTGTGGGACTTGCTGGAGAAGCCCAACTCCTCTGTGGCTGCAAAGGTAAGAAGAGCATGGCGTCGCTCTCCTGTGCACGGTCAGGAAGGGTGTTGCCCACATTCCAGAGGCTGTGGTTTTCCTCATTGAAGGTGTTTCAGTAAGACAGAACGAAATGTGGCTACAGAAACAGTGAACGGTTCTTCCCAAGTCATAGATGTTATTATGTGGGAACAGGTCTGGGCAACAGAGAATGGAGAAGTCTAGTTCCCCTGTGCTGAGTGTTGATGACTTGGAGGCGAGGAGAAGTCGCTAGCTCGGATCCAGCAGGCACGGAGTCCTGCAGAAGGCTGGGGCCTGGGCTTCATCCTGAGTTAAGGCAAGGCGTTGTCTTTGAAAGTGGAGGAGGTGCCTCCTGGCCTCGTTCTCCAGAGGTGCAGGGAAAGAGAGGACATGTAGCTCAGAGGGCTGGTGTCCCCTTACCTGAGCAAGGGGCTGTCTTGTCAAGATGTATAAGGCATGAGTCAGTGTCTAGATACATTCCTTGACCTCTCCTTGTGAGTCTACTCTGACAATGATGTTTCTGACTGTTGGGGTACAATTCCTTTCACAATTGAGTTATTACCACATCTCAGAGTTCATAAAGTGTTTGCCTAAAATGAAGGTAAATTCATATTTCCATTGTGCCTGCATATATCCAAATCTCAGAGTACCTTTTCTTGGCCTGTGATTTCAGTATTTAATTCAGCTGCATGATTCTGTTTATCAAATTTTATTTGGAGCTTTGGGATTAGCTCAAACCGATTTTCATCCCATATAGTTAGTCTATTTTGCAATATAAATTATTAGTAAAAATTCAAGTCGTCTTTAGCTGCAGAAATATAGTATTGATAGTGTGTGAATATTATATGAAAATGGAATATTGAATAGAGAAAAGAGTATGTCATCATATGAATTCTTTAAATTACTTACGTTTTCTTTAATTATCTTTTCTTAGAAACAGTAAAGACTATAGAACTTAATGTGCCGTATGTGCCTTTTGACTGGAAATTAAGATTTCACATGATAACCTGCGACATATTAATAATGGAAATAGACCATCTTAAAACGTCTCCTTTGACATGTCCAGCTTTGCATCTCGTTGGCTTCTAAAGGAATGTTCCTTTCCTGGACGTGGAACTACATGAAATCAGCTGTCTTTCTGTAATGCCTAATGAGGAAATGCACATTTTGTGGCCAGTGAAAGATTTCAGCCATGTCTTTTTGCAGTTATGAACCATTTGCTTCCCTGTGTCTTTCCCTGTGTGTGAGAGAGAGGTGCTACCTTCGTGGGGTTTGGTTTGAAGGTTATTGCTCTTTCCAATGTCAAGTGTTTAGTTATGTATTTGAATTACTCCTAAAAATACGGAGTGGACCTTGAAGATGAATGAGATAAGCTCTGGATTTAGGGAGTATTCGGAGTGTTAAATTAATTCCTTCAAGCCTTCAGGCAGTTGAGGGATAAATCATTGTTCCAGAGGGAGTTAGCCGAATACGTGGAAATAAGCAGCTAAGTCAAAGAAAACGAGAAAGGTTAATGTGGTTGACTGGCTTATAACAGCATTATTAACACATCTCTAAAATTAAGTACTATTATAGAAAAACTTAAAAAATATATACTTTTTTTTGGAAACATTTCTAGTAAGGATGGAATAGGAGCCATAACTTGCTCTCCCTGACGCGGGCGAGCATTTACTCTCCACGTTTCAAAGGCAGCAGCCCTCCCGTGATGTCCAAGAAGGTGATGTTGATGATGGGTGATTACAACGTATCATTATATACCCCGGTGCATCAGATAGATTATTTAAACTTTCTTCAAAGTACGTATGCACAGATAAGATATCTACCTGCACACTATACTCAGCCGCCAAGGACACTGGGGTGGAAGTTTTTATGTGGTTCTAAATAATACATTTGTTTCCAAATTATTCATCGAGCTAAGCAAATCTTTGCTAAGCTAAGTGGAGTCTTGACTAAATTCTCATAAAGGATTTGTGTTTGTTTATGTGAGTGTCTGCATTTTCCTCTCTGTTTGAAGAGTGAAATAGTGTGGAAATTATTTACATTTGATTATATAGTAGTTTAGTGAAAGGACTGTGCATTTGTCCTGGGTTGGAACCTTTGAAAAACAGCTCTGTGTGGTGCCTTCACAAACCACTGCCTTTTCCTGTACTCATCTCAAGTCCTGTAACTAGGTATTTCTCCAGACCAGTTCTTGGTGATGGGCGTACTGATGCTAGGTTTGAGGAAAGAGCATTTTACAACTTAGGGACAATGGAAACTATCACTTTCTCAAAACCGCAATGGGATGATCCCCGAGCCCGTGCTATGAATACTACGGCCACGTCAGGCTCCTGCTCACGTTAAGAAGCTCTTGTGTTGCAATACTTACAATCTCTGTGTTTTCCTGACTTGCTTAGGAGGTAAAATCACTGGAGGAGAATATTGTTTACTTTGCCTTTTCAATGATTCCTCATTCAGTTTGGTAAGTCAGCTGAACACATAGAATGTCCTCTGTGCGCTACAGATATTAAAACACACAGGTAGAAAGACACTCATTTTCTCCAGAATTTAAAAAATATTCTCTTAGCGTAAACAGGGATTTCATATCCTTGAAAATATTTGTTTCTTTTTCTCTTTTGGCTTTTCTGTATTTTATAATATATCTATAATATCTCTGTGATAAAGTATAAAAATGATGAGATTACTTGTCAAATCCCTAGCACAGAAGGAAAAACTTGGTTTTCTATCAAATATCCCACAGTACGATAAAATAGCTATTCACTGGCATGGAGTGAAGACTCAGTCACAAATTAGGTAACAGTTCTTCCGCCGTGCTCCGTGCGTCCTGATGAGACACACAGTTGCTGCAGGGCCCATTGACCTGTCATACTTTGTCTTTGGCTATATGATCTTGACAATAACAATTTGGCTCTTACAGGACATGCTTATTGATGTCACTCCTATTGATGGAACTTTCTGGTATATTAGAAACTGAAAAAAGAAAAGTCAGAACAGAGTTTAAAGCAGTGGTTCTCAACCTGTGGGCCGCAGCCCCTTTGGGGGTCGAATGACCCTTTCACAGGGGTCACGTAAGACAATCAGAAAACACATATTTCCGATGGTCTTAGGAACCAAGACACCGCTCCTCTATCCGCCTCCAGGAGGGTCCGCCGACATGCAGATACGCCCATATACAACATGAGGAACTGTATTAAGGGGTCGCTGCATTAGGAAGGTTGAGAACCACTGGTTTAAAGTTTGGTATATTTGCACTGCCTATATTTAACAAAAGTAACATTTTTACACATACAAAACTACCATGAAATATAATTGTATTTTTATAGAATAATGACAAGGCTAATAGAAATTGTTATTTTACAATTTGCTGTGGTTTAGTACAAACTGATAATGTGACATAGTTTATATCTGTACAATAGACTTTGATCTTCAACCTTGGGGGACTGTGTATGTCAGTGTGCTGTGTATGTATCCTCACGTGGAGGTAGTGTACGGTTTACATTGGGCTGGCACATATCTCTGGGTCACCAGGACATGGCATTGCCGGGCCTGGTACCCTCTCCTGGGGACGTGCGCGGGCAGGAGATGAGCTTAACCTGCAGCCAGTTTCCTGGGCAGTGAGCTGGAACTTGACTTGATCCTGTACGTCTTCAAACCCAAGACAATATAGTCAGCCTCTGGATCGAAAACATTTTTCACTCTTTTCTTTGGCCTCCTCCCAAAGGAACAACAGTAGCCGTTTGTCTTTAAATATTGCACACAGCAACGTCAGGCCACCAGGTGATAGAAGGCATGGAAGGGACGGGGTGCCAAGGCGTGGGGTTTGATCAGCCTTTACGAGGAAGCAACCACCAGGAAGGGCGCAGCCCACCTGCGAGCTGACAGGAACGACTCCTCGGGATCATCCGGGATCCTCACTCTGCATCTCCGAAGAAAGTCAAGAGCAAAGGAAGCCAACCGGTCTTCCAGCAAACCCAGGGCACGTGAGTGGACCTGGTGTTCAGGACAATGCCAGCCAAGAGGCCTGTCGCAGGTGTCAGGTCAGGAAGCTAGCCTGTATGCCGCTCTTATTGGATAAGCACCATATGAGGCAAATCTGCAGAAAGACATTTCTGTTCATCTGAACCAGTACAGCGAGAGCCACCCAGCGTCCCTGTTGGCCAGGCTCCGGGGCTCAGTGGGGCACTGCTTACTATCTGTGCCCCTCTCGCCAATTTCCCTCTTTCCCACAACCACCACTTACTACCTGAGGACTCTCCCTTTGTCTTCTTACATTGTTCTCCATTCTTTGTCCCTGCATCTCTCCCTGTCCCCTCTCTCGCCCAGGAGCAGGACAAGGATTGATAGAGAATTACTTCTCAACCTTTGTTCATTAGTGGGCCCCTAAGAAGAAAAATTAAGTTAAATTTAAATCTCCCTACTGGGAGAAATGAAATACTAAGGAGTAAGGTTTTGTCAGGTAGGATGGAGTTTGGAGGGCTACAAACTATTGTAATATCTAAGATTTTGTTCACCCCTCCGTACAAGAACCAACTTGCTTCCCTTGACAGCAACGTTCTATGGGAAATGCATAGAGTGGAGGAAAGAGATGACTGTTTGCTGCCTCTGGCTCGTGGCCTCCACGCACCCCATGTCCACCACCGCCGGCAGACGCAGCACAGCCCCCGAAGCCGGTGATGGCAAGTGTAAGACTCTGTCCCTGGAACCCCAGCTCCCTGGAGAGCCAGAGGTCAACATTGTGAGTTTCCCAGGGAATGGTGCCTGCTTGGGTGCCTTATTGGTGACAAGTCCTTGAGAACCACGCTCCCTCTTCTAACTAGAGTATCTGCCTTTCAAGTCACGGAAATAGTAAAATGAAAATGTATCCAAATAAAACAAGAACTCCTGTGTTCTCACCAACGGGGAAAGAATGCATAACATTCTCCTTCTATTAATAGTTTGTGGATCAGTTATTCTAATGCTTTGAATGAAACAAGAAAGGGATTGGAACAGAGCCATAAATGATT